GATTAATGTTATTAACTAAAATTCAACCTCATAACTCCTTTCATACCTAACATCCATAAATAACGTCTCCATCGGCTCTTCTTTTTGGCCTTATTAACCAATGAGTCAAATATTTGTTCCCAAATAATACAATCATATACATATATAGTTATATACACTCGTATACTTTTTAATATATGTACATTTTTCTTTCTTATATACATATCTTTTTATTCAAGTTGTATTTGTTTTATACTTTTATTATGTGTTAACCATTATAGTGTTACCTTTTATGGTAAACGAAAAGCTATTATGACCCTCGTCAGAAGTAGAACCTTCTTGAAACAATAAAGATGATATTACATACAAAATAAACTAAAGATGAATTCTAAATGATCACCTTTATCTTAGTATAAGGTTATTAAAATTTGAAAGACTAACCAAAATTTTCGTTATAAGGAGTGACAAAACTCAACTGCCTACCATTCTTTATATATCTTGCTCCATTATGTAACTGCTTACCGTTTTAGGCCACTAATCAAATCTAAAAACAATACAATCAAGTGGTTTGAAACAATATATAAATAAGCCAAAACATTTTCACAATATTTTACCGCCTCATTTCTGAAAATTTCAACGGCTTGTATTAGAGGGGGTATTTCCTAAATTTAAGTCTGATCTACCGTCGGTTGATAAATTAAATTATAGTATACAGGTTTACGTCATTTTGATGTAAAATATTGTAAATGTTGCGTTATAAGTTACACCTACTCGAACCAAAGAACAGTATGAATTGAATTATTCTTCTCCCGTTGCGATATTAGATTTGAAATATGATAAACCGACTCCTACATGACTCTTATTTGTGGTCGGCCGTGTTAATTTCATCCTTAGATTCCTTGCACATCTAAATTTTTGTAAGAAAAATACGACTATGTGATATTTTAGGAGTCTTGAAAGCTTAGGATTGGAATAGTTATAGTTTTGAGATATATATTTGATTTCCACCACCTTATTTATGTGGACTGCGGTGGATTGTTCACAACCACGAAAGATGATTTTCTTGAAACAGAAGATATATGTAGTTTAATTAATTATAAAATTAAGAGCTTTATGAAAATGATTTACGAAAGAGTATTAAAAGCTTAAAGTAGTTATAACGATGTTTTGTAATAGACCCCCATTAATTCCACTTTATCTATGTGGTGGACAATTCATTTCCAAAATCACCAAAGATGATTTTCTTGAAACAAAAAAAAAATCATTTGATTATTCATAGTGATCACTTCAATTTTGCATAGTACTACCCAAAAAATACAAACTTCTTG